TTGGTTATCTCTTGGATAAGTGCAAAGGGCTGCATACATCATCTAGGGTCTCACTGGTGCTCATTCCCATTCACCCGTAGCAACCGTGAGATGTCAGAAGGGTCTAGGAGGAAGTATCTAGTGTGCTCAGATAATAAATGCTGATATTTTTTCACTTGCATTGGACTCATTAGAATAAATTTTATTTTCCCTGAGCCAGTCATTCACTCAACAATGTGTACAACTGCTAAGAGGCCGGTACCAGTTGGGTGATGTTAAAATGGTGGTGATTCCTATAGTCTCAGTTATTGATTCCTTGGAGATTACAGTTGTTAAGGATGGAACTTACAAAAATAAATACACAGATAAATACAGGATAAAAAGGTATTATGGTAAGTACTGTCAGAAGAAGAACTGGGGTGGCCTAGGAGTGAATGAGGAAGAAGTTGGTCTAGATTGGGGGTGTCCAGGGAAGGAGATAGATATGTAGACTGCATACAACGTGCTATTTATTGGAAGGATGGAAAGTAGATGGTGCTAAGACAGCTCCAAGGAGGAGGTCCCTGACCCTTGGATAAGAGTAAGATAGGAGTTCTGGAATCTACAAAAGGAAGGAATATTTAAGAATTTGGAAGAATAGTTTGAAGTTTTGTAAATGAAAAGGGAACAGTGGTTCTTAGTGGAGAGAAGATGGTGTGTTTGAGAAGACTCTTATCCAGTAAGGGTAGAGTTTATGCCACACATCAGGGAATGGCAAGAGAAGAACCAGGCCAGCTAACATGGTTAATATGTCTTGTATGCGAGTCATTGGAGGGAGTGGCAAGCTACCAACTGGCCAGAAAACTTTTTCTGTAAGGGAAATTTTGTGGGCAATGCAGTTTTTGTGACAGAGGCAGCTCTGTTGCTGTAGTGCATAATCAGCTGAAGACAGTATGCAAATCAATGAATCTGGCTTTGTCACAATAAAACTTTATGTATAAAAATGGACACAGTACTGGTTTTACTCATGAGCTGTCATTGGCCACCCCCTGCTCTAGAATGATAATTCTGGTGGCTCAGTAAAAGGGTAAAAGTTGGTTAGAAGACAAAGAGAGAATGGAGACAGGGATGCCAGAAGAGCTTGTGCTTTAATTCAGATCAACTAATGAAGGCACAATGGGGAGAAATGATTTGTGACAAGTTCCAAGGTAAAAATGCCAAAATTCCATGGCCAGTTTGAGGAGAACATGCCTGTTCGTTTCTTTAATGCTCAAAGGATTGATTCTCCCAGTGAAGAAAAAAAAGAATAACCACAGGCCTTTTGGGCATGTGACTCAGAATCACACGGAAATCCTAGGAGGTCACCTGCTGGTCACCAGACACTGTGCTTAGTGCATTGCATAGATTGCTGCATTGCATAGATTGCTGCATAATTCCTGAGAATTCGTAAGGCTATTAAGTACTATTTTCTTTTTCCGAGCTGAAGTGTAGAACTGATAAATTGTTTGTGGAAAGTCACATAGCTGGTAAATGGTGGAGATGAGATTTAACCTGAGCCTAGTGACAAAGCCTAGACCATTCCTGAGAAGCAGGTTCTTTTTCCTACCTCCATGGTGTGGCGTGGAGCCCCATCTATAAGCTGATGCAACTCTTTCCTCTCCCTTCTTCCTTTACTCCTTTTTAAGATCTGTCTAACCTTTAAGGTTCTTAGCCTCTGGTAGTTTTATCTGCAAAACTGCAGTTGAGTGGTTTTTCTTCTGTGTTTGTAAGGCCTGGATTCACATTTCTAACCTCATTAAGTATGAATATTACAATATGAAGACAGGTTGGTAATAAGTTATAGGTTATGGAATCACTGATTTAAATTCCATCTTCAAAGACTTCTTCCACATTTGGAGGTCCTGGAGATGATAGCTTTGCCATATTTTTATTTCAGGGGGTACAATTCCACCCACAGTATAACCCTTTTCTAAGAATTCAGGAGCTTCTTCAGATCAAGGTACCTGAGTGAGTCTCAGGCCAGTTCCTACACCAAGGTATCTTCACATGTGATCATTTTTCTGCCCCCTGCTATGGGTGCTGCTTGGGATGTGGAGGTTCTGTCTGTGCTCATAGTTCCATTTTTATTTTTCAGAGTTTCCTGTCCTACCTTCTCAGCCTTTGCTACTGCTGGTATTTTGTAGGCTACGCTCAATGAATCTGCTTCCCAGCTTCTCCTTTCCCTCTTTGCACTTTGGCCATCATTTATTAGTTTATATCACAATAGCTTTTGAGTTCCTGTTACATTCCAGGCATTATGCTAAGTTTCAAGGATATAAAAGCGAAATGTTTAGAAGTTCCTGTTCTTATGGAGTTCTTATGGGTGGCCACAGGAGCAAACCATGTGAAACAACTGAATAGTGAAGTGTGCATGCAGGTGCTTATTGTGTGACTCTCAGCTTAGTGTCCTTGGTGGCTCGCTAGTGCTGAGTCCAAGATCCCTGGAAGAGCTCAACAGGCCTCCTGTGACCTGGCCTCAACCCCTCAAAGATCTCCTTTTCTTTTCTTTTCTTTTCTTTTTCCTTTCCTTTCCTTTTTCATTTCTTTTCTTTCTCCCCTCCCCTTCCCTCTTCTCCCCTCCCCTGTTCTCTCCCCTCCTCTTCATTCACTTGTGTTTTTTTGTTTGTTTGTTTGTTTTGGGTTTTTTTTTGGTACCGGGGATTGAACTCGGGTCCTTGTGCTTGCAAGGCAGGCCACTTCTCTTCATTCATTTGATCTATGTACTTGCTCTTCCCCTACTATACATTTCTTTCTCAGACAGAGACTTGTTGGTTCCCATGAATGCTCTCTCAACTGGGATGCATTCCTCTGGCCCTGCCCTTAACTTTTGACTCGATGAACATTTAGCCTTTCTGCTCTGAGACCTATCACTGGAGCCACCATTTCCAGGAAGCCAGCCATGGCCCCTCTCCCTTACCTTTCTGTCAGCTCCCTGTGCTCCCCTTAGTTAACAAGCTCTCCTCCTGCAGGGATACTAACAGAAGCTCATTGTCATTATTGCCCCTGCCCGAGTGATGCCCGTACCATCAGCAGGTGGATGAGTCCTGTGCTTCTGGCACCACTTCTGCTCTCCAAGCTGAACTTTTCCTTGACTCTCCTTCCCCCACAATCTCCTGTCTGGTCACCACTTTTTCTTAGCTCCAAGTCCAGAGACCTTGCTGCTCATGACATTCTTTGTACTGCAGACGCCACAGCTATGCTGGCCCTACTGGTTAGTTCTCATGTTGTCTACCGTTGACCACCAGCTGTTTGATCTGCTTGCTTGTCTATAGGAATGTGGTTCTCCAGGGACAGCATAAGTTCCTTCATGGCCTTTCTTATTTCTTTGTTTCCAAAATTTCCCTGTCTCCCAATTTCAAGAACAAAGGATACACAACTTCTGCTTCACTGGTGAATTCAACACACATCATTTTGAGCTTTAAACTTATACCTGGGCCTGTGTTAAAAGCACACAAACTCTTATCTGGTCTTTTCCATCTTATCCAGAAAGATCTGTTTCTTTTATCTTTTTCTGCTTAATATTTTTGGCTTCTCCCAAGTATTAGATGGTACCATGATTTTCAGAAAGTTTTAGCACATATTGTATCAGTGAATAGAAAGAGAATATTCTAAAGAATATTCCAAAGAAATCAATATTTTGTTATACATATATTATTTACTTGATAATTCTAGTGTATTATAGTTCATTAATGATAGTGCTATGACGAAGATGAAAATTTGAAATTGAAGGTCTGGGGTGACAGTTGCAACTTCATTACATGCTTACTATTAGATGTATCCCTATATTTAGTGTTGACTGTTTTTGGAAGGGAAAGTCTGTGACAAGTAAATGTGGGGGGTGATAGCACTTTAAGTTGGATACCTTGTAGATTTAGGTTTTTTTTATTAAAATGATCTGAAAACTTGAAAAAGGAATATAGGGAAAGTTGATTTTAATCTTGATTCCCTCACACTGTAACAGTGTTGCATTCCTTAATTTTAAAAGATATAACAGAAAGGAATAGTAGAACAGGTTCTTTCAACAATTTATGTCTTTGTCAGAAAACACTACCCCAAGTTACATTATGTCATTATGAAGTGTTAATTATGTCACTAAATTTTTTTCCCCAGAAACTGCAATGCTTTTTTTCTCTTTAGTAATCACTTAAAGTCTTTAGCAGAGCATAAAATGCTTAATTTGGCATATTGAGCCCAAACTTCAGTTGTCAGTTTCATTGTTGACACTTTATCCATCACAGGAGACCTGATAGAATAGCCCTGTCTTGCTGATTTGGCCTTGTTCAGATCAGTAAAAGTCTGCCTGACCATAAGAATGAAACAAGTACTAAAGCTACCAATTATACTTACAAAGGTGTAGCATACTATACCGTTACTTATTGTATGGTTAGCTGTTATAGCTTGATAAGAGTACTATTACAGTGTGCATTCAGTGGAAGTCACTGAGCCTTGTCTAGCATTTTAATTGAAAGTGTTACATGGAAGCCAGAGTGGTGATAGTATACTTGCTTGTAGTTTTACAGCATGAAAAGACTTGCAAGGATCTGAATTGTTGAAAGACCTTTTTGGTTTCTTAATTAATGACACATCTGTGTTCAAACGTATTCATGGTTTTGGCAGGAGAACCCTTATTCCGAAGTGGGCATGAGTATATTAACCTGTGGCCTATAAACCAGTGAGGTTTGTGATTGTTCCTTTATTTATTCTTTTCCAGTGTTGGGGATTGAAAAAGGCTTTGTGCATGCTAAGCACACAACTCAACCTCTGAGCTACACTTCTAGCCCTTGACTGTTTATATTTAATGTAACATTCTTTTTTTTTTTGAGACAGAGTCTCACTATGTAGTTGAGACTGACCTGGAACTCACTATGTAGCCCAGGCTGGTCTCGAACTCACAGCAATCCTCCTGTCTCAGCCTCCCGAGTGCTGGGATTATAGGTGTGCACCACCATGCCCAGCTTGATGTAACATTCTTGAGTGTACATGTTTACAGTTAAAATAATTTTTAAAAACGTAATTTGAATCAAATATTTGTATAGCCTTTGGAAGAAATAGATTGACTTTCATTGCATTAGAGTAAGACAGTTGTGGTCTCCTATGGGACATTTAGCAGGGCTCATTTGGAAGGGCCTCTCTGTTGTCATCAAGATAAGTGTGTGCCCGGTTTAGGGCTTTTCACCTTTCAGGTGTGCAGCAGGATGTAGTGAATCTTAGTGAATTGACACAGAACTGATCTGTGTGACTGGGCTGTAGGATGAGCTCTCTCTGGTGAGAAATGATAGGGAAGGTCTCTGGTCCAAGTTGCCCACCTTCCCAACACCCACATGGCCAGCCTCCTGCTGAAAACTTCTTTCCTCCAGCCCCTTTTGGAGCTGCCTGAGCTCCCTATAGTGAGGGTTTTTCAACCCCTTGTTGACTTCAGGACTTCTGTGCTTCTGCTCTGGTTCCAATCATTCAAATATCCTTACAAATTACTTCCCAGAACTGTCAGCCCAACACAGAAAAGGTAACTAGGAATATCCTTTGTTTCCATCTGCATGTTCTTGCCAAGCAGTTTTTGCAGAAGTTCTCTAGTCTGTAAAAGCCTCAGGCATGCTGTGTTGGGGAGGCCCAGAGGAGTAGACTGAAGACTCTGCTTGAGGTTAAGAATAAAATGATGGCTAACGAACGGACCTCTTTTTTAATGTCTTGACTTAAGGATCCGCATATCTGCCAACATGTACCACTCGTAATTCTAGAAGCAAAAAGCATGTAGAATATGGTCAGGGTCATCCAGGCACGTTAGTGTGGCTAATTTTTATTTCCAATATGGAATGGATGTGTTGTCTTCCATTCTATACATTGATCTCCTGCTAGTCAGTCTCTGTGATGGTCTGTCTCATTGTTCTCCAGCTAACACTTACAGGCTGATATTTCTAAGGTCGTAATCTTGTTTTTTTTCCCTTCACATTTGATACTCCTTCTTAGTTTACTTCATCTAGGTCCCTACCTTTGCCAATAACTCCCTAATGCCTTTAACCATCACTCTGGGGTCACAATAAGATTCCAATCTACCTTCCCAAAGTTATCCCCCAACTTTTTATAATATTTCTTACAAACTGACCAAGCTCAATGCTCTTGGGTCTTCCTGTACTTCCTTCATGCAGGAAAATTGGTTGTAAGAACCAAAGAACTTCTAACCCAATGGAAACATTAAAATGAATATAGTTTCATCCAATGCAAAAGACCTGTCTTAATTACTTTTCTTGTTGTTGAGACAAAATACCCAATACCCAAAGTTGAAGGACTAAAGGTTTATTGTGGCTCAGTTTGTAGAAGTTTCAGTCCATAGTCAACTTGCTCTGAGGTAGGGTGGCATGGTAGAGGGGCACTGAACAGGAGAAACAGTCCATGGCAAGGCAGGAAGGAGACAATCATGCAAGCAGCAAGAAGCAAAACAGCAGAAGCAGCAGCTGCAAGCCTGTCCCTCCCTTTATATTTCATCCAGGCTACACTCTTTTTAACTGGTGCTTCCCATAGCCAGGGTTGGGCAGCCTTAATACCAGCATCACACCCTTAATCCACATTCACAAACCATAATCCAGCCACCTTTGAAAATCCCCACCTATGACTGCATAAAGCTTTGGCGGGGGCATCTAGATACAAGCTGTAACGCCATATACGCACAGACCTTTTTGCATTTTGAAGTCCAAAAGAAGGAGCTGTTATGCGTGCTGGGGAAGATCCGAAAATATTCTTCCAGGAAGTTGTGAGATAGATCTTTACAACTCAGATGTATGTTGATGCAGAAGAGTTTGTTCCAAGCAGAGTAAAACCCAGAGGTAGAACATTCTTTTGGATTCTCATCCCTCTGTCCTTTCCCTGGTTATGGGGTTGTTGATAGGAAGTGTAAGAGAAAAGTGGTCCCATCTTTCTGGACGTTGGACTGTGTTGAAAATGTAGATTAAGAAAGAGAATCTATGAAGAGCTTTGATTTACAATATCACATTTATAGTTTAGTTTAGTTGGTACAGATCCACTGATAGTTTTAGAACATAACAGCAGCGTTATTAGAACATCATTTTCTAAAACTCAGATTGGCACCACTGTATGAGATAGAGATGGGGAAGGGTAAGAAAAGGAGAAATTCCTGAGATAGGGGAATGATAGTGGGGATGGAGATTAAAAAGGATATGAAGTAGGATTTTAAGGAAGAGTAAGGGTCCATGATGATCCTCATATTTGAGCTGGGTATTTAATAAATGGTGTTGGAAAAACTGGATTTCAACTTGCCAGAGATTAAAACTAAGCCCCTATTTTTCACCATGCACTAAACTCGAATCCAAGTGGATTAAAGATCTAAATACTAAACAGAAACACTAAACTTGTTGGAAGATATGTTAGGTAGAACTCTCAAAGACATTGACATAGGAAACAATTTAATGAACAAATCCTCAGTACACAGGAACTAGAACAAAGAATCAACAACTGGGATCTCATCTTATTAAAAAGCTCTGCACTGCAAGAGAATCACTAACAGAGCTAAAAGACAACCTACAATGTGGGGAAAAAATTTTGCCAGCTGTTCCTCAGACAAAAGTCAACCATCTAGAATATATAAAAAACTCAAAAAAAAAAAAAAAACACAGACCCACAAATACAAAGACCCAATTAAAAAATGGGCATCTGAAATGAGCAGACACTTCTCAGACAAGTAAAAGCAGCAAATAAATACATGAAAAAATGTTCAGCACCACTGGTCGTTCGAGAGATGCAGATGAAAACAACACTGACATTGCACCTCACCCCAGGAAAAAAAATGGCTGCTATCAAGAAAGCAACCCGGGGCCGGGGATTTAGCTCAGTGGTTCTCACAAGTGCAAGGACTTGAGTTCAATCCCCGGTATCAAAAAGAAAAAAAGAAAAGAAAGCAAACAATAACAAATGCTGGAGGAGTTGTGGGGACAAAGGAACCCTTCTCCATTGGTGGAAGTGTAGACTGGTGCAAGCACTGTGGAAATCAATATGGAGATATCACAAAAAACTAGGATTAGAGATCCCATTTGACCAGCTATTCCTCTGCTGGGTATCTTCCCAAAAGAATGAAAAGAATCGTACCACAGCTATATATGCACGCCCATGTTTATAGCGGCACAGTTTGTAATAGCTAAATCTTGGAAACAACTCAGTTGCCCATCAACTGGAGACTGGATAAAGAAGATTTACTACTCAGCCATAAAGAACAAGAAACTAGAGATATTTATAGCTAAGTGGATGCACATTTAGCTCATACTCAAATGACATAATAGGACATGCTTATGTAAATACCGAATAATTTCTCGTGTGAAAAACTAAAAATGTAAACAAGGATGAAAATGTTTAATTGATACTGTGAAATAGGAAGAAAATGTCTAGAGGATTATGGGAAGTGGGAGGGGTAGGGGAAAGGAAAGAGGAAAAGGGAAAAACATGAGAAAAGGAAAAAATGTAAATGAAGTATTTGTAAATAGGAAAGGGTGGAGGGGTTAAGAGAGGGCAAGGGAATGGAGAAAAAATAAGAACCAAGATAATTCATATAAGGTACAAGATCCCAATGATGAATGTAACTGTACTGTATGCCTAAAATGTACCAATAAACTTAATGGAAAAAAAATAAAGACAAACAAAAAAAGTAAAAAGCTTTATGAGGAGAATAAATTATTTTGACATGAAAAAGTTTGGTTTTCTTAGAGGATTAAAATCTTACTGTAATAAACTCAGAACCAACAAATGGGATCATATCAAATTACAAAGCTTCTGCACAATGAAGGACCAACAGAATGGAGAGACAATCTACAGAATGGGGGAAAAAAATTGCCAGCTATTCCTTGGACAGAGGACTAATATCTAGACTATATAAAGAGCTCAAAAAATATAGAACTTCCCCAAAATAAAAGAACCAATCAAAAAATAGGAAGCTGTAACAAATAGGCACCTCTCAGAAGTACAAATAGCCAATAAATACAGGAAAAATGTTAAGTACCTCTGCTTATTAAAGAAATGGAAGTTAAAACAACACTGAGATTCCATCTTATTCTGGGGAGTATGGCTATCAACAAAGAATAAAATAAGACTGTGGCAAGACTGTGGGGATAAAGGAACCCTCCTGCATTTTTTTTTATATATAGGTAGATTCTGGTATTTTTTTTTTCTCATTGAGTTTATTGGTACATTTTAGGTATACAGTACAGTTACATTTATTATTGGGATCTTGTACCTTTACATGACAGGTCTTGGTTCTCATTTTTTCCCCTTACCCCTGCCCTCCCTTCACCCCCTCTTCCCTTCCCTATTTACAGATTCTTCATTTCATTTATTCATTTTCTTATATCTTTTTTCCCCTTATTTCCTTTCCCCTACCCTTCCCACTTCCCCTACACCTTTAGCCCTTTTCTTCCTATTTCACATTGTCAAATTATACCATTAGGATCTTATGTTCAATTACAGTTTTTCACAACAGAGAAACTATTTGATATTTACACATGTGTGACTTATTTATTTCATTTAAGAATATGTCCTTGACCAAGCGTGGTGGCGCACGCCTGTAATCCCAGCACTCTGGAAGATGAGGTAGGAGGATCACTGTGCATTTAAGACCAGCCTGGTCTAAATAATGAGTTCCAGGTCAGTCTCAACTACATAGTAAGACCCTGTCTCAAACAAAACAAACAAACAAACAAAAAACCCAAAAACAAAACAAAACAAAAACCCCCAAAGAGTATACCCTCAATATGCATCCATTTTCCTATGAATGACTCTAATTTCTCATTCTTTATGGCTGAGTAATATTCCATTTTATAGAAAAAAACACATTTTATTCATCCAGTCTCCAACTGATGGGCAAATGGGCTGTTTCCAAGTTTTATCTATTGCAAACTGTGCTGCTATAAACACATGGGCGTGTATATATCACTGTGATATGATTCTTTTACTTTTTTTTTGGAAAGATACCCAGCAGAGGGATGGCTGGGTCAAATGGAACCTCTAATCCTAGTTCTTTGAGGTATCCCCGCCTCACCCCAGAAAAAATGGCTGCTATCAGGAAATCAACCAATAACAAATGTTGGCTGGGTTGTGGGAAGAAAGGAACCCTTCTGCATTATTATTATAACCCTTCTGTAAACTAGTACAACCATTATGGAAATCAGTATGGAGATTCCTCAAAAATATTAAAAGTAGAAATTCCTTTCCACTCAGCTATTTCTCTTCTAGGTATATTTACAAAAGAGTTAAAGACATCATAGTATGGTGGTGACACATTCATACCCATGTTTATAGAAGCACAATTCATAATAGCTAAATGCTAAAGTGGCACATATGTCCTTCAACAGATGAATGGATAAAGAAAAGGTATTTACACACAATGGCATACTGATCTGCCATAAAAGGGATAAACTTGAAGAGTCATTTGTAAGAGACATTTGTGCCTTGAGGCCATACTGTGTGAAATAAATCAGACACACAAGCTTAAATATCATGTGATTTCTCTAATATGAGAAAACTAAAATATAAAGAACAAAATAAAAAATAGAATACAGGGCAAAGAGAGATAGATCTTTTGCAAAAGAGAAGGGGACCAAGAGATTAATGGAAGGGAGAAAAAAGGAGGAAAAAGGGATGAATTTTTTTTTTTTTTTTTTTTTTTTTTTTTTGAAACAAGGTTTCTCTATGTAGTTCAGGCTGACCCGGAACTCAGTTATCCTTCTGCCTTAGCCTCCCAAGTGCTGGGATCACAGGTGTGCACCACCTGGTGCACAAAAAGAGAATTGAGATATTTTATGTACATATATCAACTCCCCACAAGAAATGTAATCATTAGGTACTGAAAACACGAACTAATAAAAAAAAAAAACTTGCAGCCACCCTTGCAGGGTATTCCTTTGGATTCTCACCCCTCTGTCCATACCCTGGTTGACTGGATATTTGATCTCCATAACACACTGGAGGTCTTTGGATTGCTGGTGCTGCTATGTCCTACCTTGGTTGCTTTTGCTGCTGGCTGCATCTTAGTTCCGACAGTGCCATCATTCAATTCCATGTGAGCTTCCTTTGTGTTTATGATTTGGGAACTGCAGAAATAAACTAAAACTGGAGAGGGCTGGGAGCATCCAGAGCTTGTAGGACTGATTTAGTTAAACATTTTCAATCACTTTATTCTCATTCTGAAGTTTTCACATAATAAAAACCATTCCTGACCACACTAAATAAATTTTGCACATGCCGCTTGAACTACTGTGCAATCTTATCCCAGTGTGGCTTCCTCAAAGATTAATATTTCACTAAACTATTCCTCTGGGTAGGCTGAAGCCAGCAGCTGTGTGGAAACTCAACATTTGCTTTGTACAGTGAAACTCTAGGGCAGGGCTGCTTTTCACATATTTTGGACATATTGCTCATTTGGTCAAAGTAAGCACTCTTGGCAAAGTCCATGGGGCACAAGCCATAGCTTGTGTTTTTATCTATTCAGATATAAAATAATGAGAAAATGTGGTTCTAAATGGTATCATACACCATTGGTGCATAGAAATTGTAATTATTATTCACTAAGCACTGCTATGGTTTTTCTAAGATTTGACCCCCAAAGGTTTATGTGTGGAGGTTTGGGCTCTAGTGTGGCTATGTGGGAGGTAATGGGACCTTTAAGAAACAAGGGTTAGGGTAAATGCCACAGGTCATTAGGGTTTGGCCCTGGGAGGGATTAAGGTAGTTCTCAAACGGACCCTAATTAGTCCTCAGTCCTTCTTTGACTTCCCTCTGCCCAGGTGATCATTTTCTCTTGTATGCATTTCCACCTAGCAGTGTCATCCTCCATGAAGTGAAGGATTTAGAGACCCTCGCCAGAGTCCATGATACACTGGACTCCAGTCTTCAAAATTGAGCTTCAATCAATGTGGCTTTTCCTTTTTAACCTATGGCCGATTAAACCATTAGTTTCTGAATATTGTATAAGCCTAATATCCTTGGAATAAGCTCCGCAGGTGCATATCATAAAACATCATAAGAGAAAAAGTCATTTTTATAGATTATGGAGTTCTATTTGTGGAGGTTATGTTAAGGATTGTTTATGTCTGTGTCCTTGAGGATTTTGAGCTTTCTGGCTTTTGTTTTTGGTCTTGTTTCTGGGGTGGTGTGGATTGAACTCAGGGCCTTGTGCATGACAGCAAGTGCTCTGCCACTAAGCTACAATCTCAGCTTAAGTTTTATGTTTTTGTTCTGTTTTTGTCCATGATTGGTATCAGTGTCATGCTAGTTTACTAAAATAAACTAGGAAGTATTCTCTCCCCTTTGATGTTCTGGAAGAGATTGTGTAGAATATATGGTAATTCTTTTTTAAACTCTTAATGAGATTTTTCAGTGAAACAATCTGGGTCTACAGACTTTTGGGAATGTTAGATTATTATTGCTTCTTATAGCTATAGTGTTATTTAATTATCACTGTCATGTTGGATGAGTTCTGGTACTTTGTGCCTTTCAAGGAATCAGTCCGTTTTGTCTAAATTATAAAGTGCATGTATGCTGTTATTGCTAATATCCCTTTATTACCCTTTTATCTGCAAGTGACATCTTCTGTTTTATTCCTGATATTGATAATTTGTGTCTGTTTTTACTTTGGTTAGTCTCGCTAGATGTTTGATGAATTAGATGAATTACAAAGATTTTTTTTTCAAAGAACTTCTGATTATTTTGTTTGCTTTAAAGTCTACTTTATCTGGTTGATATATCCTATTACTTTAAAAAGATTTTCTATGATATAAAATTTGTATCGTTTTTCATTAAATTTGTTCATATTGTTATATTTGAAGTTAGTTTTACATAGTCATGCATTTGGGTCATGTTTTTACATTGATTTTTGCAATAGCTTTTGACATGTTTTGATCATGTACATTTAATATAATTACCAATATATTCAGGCTTAAATCTGCCATTTTTTGTTTTTGTCTTAATTTTAATGTGGTCTATTTCTTGTCTTTCTTGGGCGACTTGAACATGTTGTACAATTCCATTTTGATTTATACATATTTTTGTTGTTTTTCAGTGATACTGGGGATTAAACCCAGGGCCTTGCACACGCTATATAAGTACTGTATCACTGAGCTATATCCATAGCCCTTCTTATTTTCTATTTTGAGACAGGGTCTTGCTAAGTCTTCTGGACTGGCCTTGAACTGATGATCCTTATACTTTATCCTCCTGGATAGCATACGCCACTGGGCCCAACTCTTTGTAGCGGGGTTTTTTTGTTCTGCATTTTGTTTCTTGAGACAGAGTCTTGCTACATAGTTCAAGCTAAACTTGAACTCACTATGTAGCCCAGACTAGCCTCAACCCTCAGTGATGCTCCTGCCTCAACTTCTGGAGTGCGGGGATTATAGGAGCACACTGTAGTGTTTTTGAGTGTATCTCTTTGTTTAGTTTTCTTGGTAGTTGATCTGGTATTACATTATATATATGTAATTTAACACTGTCTACTGGTGTCATTTCACCAGCCTGCATGAAATACAAGAAACCTTAACCTTACCCTGTTTGTGTCCCCTTTGCCCTCTTCCATTTATAATTAACTTAGGTATTTCCTTTGTGTATCAAGAATTGTGAAAATGTTGCATCATCTGTGAAATAAAATTTAGGAAACTCAGGATGAAAAGCAAAGATTATTATATTTACTTATATTTTGGTTTTCTTCCTTCCTGATAGTCCAGGATAGTCTTTTTCTTTCTGTTTAGAAAATTTCTTTTAGTCACTAGGGGACATCTACTGGTGACATTTTCCTTAATTTGAGAACATCTTGATTTCAGTATCATTTCTGAAAGGTTTTTTCCCCCCTTCTGGGTATGGATTTTATGCTGATAACCCTTTTCTTTCAGCACCTAAAATGTATTACCATTTAGTGCTTTTGGCTTCTCTCTTATATATGTACTAAGAAGTCCTCAGTCATTTGAATTGGCTTTTCCGTATAACTAAGATGTCATTTCTCTCAGGCTGCTCTTAAGATTTTTTCTTTTGCCTTTAATTTTCAAAAGTATAATGAAGATTTGTCTGGTAGTGATTGGGGGGGTGGTTTACCCTCTTTGAGGTCCACTCAGATACTATAGGCTTATGTTTCTTTCCTAATTTGGAAAATTTTAAGTGGTTACTGACTACTTTTTCAGTTCCTCCTACTTTCTCATCTTCTTCTAGAGCTCTGATGACATACATTTAGACCTTTTGTCCTAGTTTTATGTGTCACTAAGACTCTTCTTTTTCCAGTCTGTTTTCTCTCTGCTGCTAAATGAATAATTTTGTTATTCTGTCTTCCAGATCACTGATTGTATCTTCTGTACCCTCCATTCTGCTATTGAATTCATCTACTGAGTGTTCTATTTTGGTTGGTATATTTTGTAATTCTGTAATTTTTTGCTTTATGTCATCTTTATTGAGACTTTTTGCTGAGACTTTTAAGTTTCAAACATCTTCATAATTGCTCATCAGAGCATTTTTACCATGGATGTTTAAAAATCTGTCTCAGATAATTCCACCTTTTCTGTCCCCTTAGTGTTGGCGTACGTTACCTGGCTCCTCCTTATTGTTGGATAAGAATGGGAGTTCCAGATCCCATGTGGTCCCTCTGACATGGGGCTTGCAACCATTGGTAGTGATGAGAGTCCTGACTCTTCACAAGGCCTCCTCTGATAGCCCAGCAGGGATGGGGAGAGACTCCTAGGTGTTTTTGAATGGAAGTGTCCTGTGTTTGAATATATCCTCCAAAGTTCATGTGTTAAGAAACTCTATCCTCACTGCCGCACTATTGGAAGGTGGATCCTAGTGAGGTCACAAAGGCTCTCTCACAAACTGGTTTAATGTCACTATTGCAGGAGTGGGTGAGTTATTGAGTGAGTGGATTTGTTATAAAAGCAAGTGGAGCCTTTCTTTGCTCTTCTGCTTTTACCGTGTCCTGCCCTTCTACCTTCTGCCATGAAATGACACAGCACAAAGGCCCTCACAGGATGCCAGGGCCTTGATATTGGACTTTCTCGCCTCAAAAACTATGAAATAAATAAATTTCTATTCATTACTCAGTCTATGCTATTGTGTTATAGCATAAAAAATGGGCTTAACTTCTTGATGACATAGTGTAGCTCATTACCAGCTGTCTGGGATGCAAGGCTCGCGTCCCTTCTGGGCCTTCTTTGATATCAGTCTGGCATGAACATGGAGGCTTCTTGTTCCGACTCCTTAAAGGTGGGAGTCCATGCTCTTGACTCACGCTCTGCTGGTGTAAGTGTAGGTGAGGACCCCATTTTTTTTTATTAATTAGAGTAGAATGGGTGTTTAAGAGTTTCTTACCTTGACCAAGAGATGAAGGGAAGGAGTAGAGGGGGAAGTGAAAAGAGTTGCAGTGTTAGGTGCACGTATCGATTCCCTATGGTGAAGGTAGTCTATGTACTGCAAACATGTGCCAATTGAAAAGAGGAAAAAACGACATCAAAAGAGAAAAATGTCAATAGCCAAAGTTTGGACTAGATCTGTTTGTTTTCTTTTTTCTGTGTGACATCTGTTTTATAGTTCTGTCTCATCAATGAGACCATTATGAAATGTAAAGAGAAGAGAGAAGAATAAAGAATGAAAGGGTGTGGGAGTTTCCTGCCTTACTAGATTCCTCTTTCCTGGTATTTGGGTGGGAGAGAGCTAGCTTCTGTTGGGCTTCTGTGTTCTTGGTCTGCACCTGATTTCTAAGCTGCTAGTTTCTCCAGCCATTTCATCCCTTAGTGCGTCATGCTCATGATTCTTTGAGAACTATTTGCCCCTAATGAACCTTTCAGACCATCTCTGGCTTCTTCAACCCATTCCCTTTATTTCTGCAAGCATTTTCTTTCTAGAAAGCAGAGCTGACCATGTCACTGTCCTGCTGATACTATTTATTGCCAGTAAAAATCAAGTTTGGCCTCCATAAGGCATTGTAGATCCTCCAATTCCAACTTTGCTTTTCCATCAGCAACTTCTGTTGAGTCCCTTTTTCTATCCCCCTTTTTTTCAGATATGGTGTATGCTTTAGTTCATGTTCTTCCTTCTCTCTTCAGTATCTTTCTTTATTCTTGGAAAGAATAGTTGAGAATTTAAGTCACTGGAGTTGGGAAGCCTCCATTTAAATTCCAGCTCCAATGTTTTCCAGCTGGGTGATCTTGGGTAGCTTTACCTCTCCACGCCATGGTCTTCTCACCTTATAAATGACAGTAGTATCGCCTGCCTTACAGGATAGTCATGAGGCTTAAATTAAACATTCTTCATTAATCTTTCAGCAAATAGCACCATTTCCGAGAGAGACTTCAGTAAATGTGAGCTGTTGGTATAATCAGTAATTAAATTAATACTGTGCAGTTCAGCATTCAATTTGAATGTTACCCTCTATGAAGACTTTATGGGTTCTCACCATTGCTGCCTGTTATTGGAATTAATAACTTATTTCCAAATGGCCCTACGCCACTTAATTTACATTGTCTTTATTTTGTTTGTATGTAATTAGGTTGCAAATCTCTCTCACTGTTCACGTTTATTCTTTTCTAGATCCATTCATTCAGAGGAAGCACTTACTATGTATAAGTCAAGCACTGAACAGAGGTGGCTCAGCCGTGGACTTTTCTTTAGGGCATTCATGGGAGCAGCAGAATGCTTTACTCTATAAATGGCTGTAGTGGGATTTATTAAATATTTATTGGCTGAGGACCACAGGCAGGCCCTACCTTGGGACAGAAAGGCAGGCTGACTCCAGGCTGGAAGATAGAATAAATTTAGAATCTTTTGGTAAACTATTCCTAATACTGACCTCTGCCCAATCCTATCTGAAGGCCCTAGCTTTGTGTTAGATCCCTGCTGTAACAGCCCTGGGATGCCTGGGTCTGTGGCCATGATGTGAGTCTCGTCTGGGCCTAAACCATGTGCAATCTAAAGTTCTGTCAATCAGCTTTTACATTCAAACCAAGGCAAAGCTCTTGCCAGTGCCTTTGGAGTTACATAAATACCACTGATGATTGGTTCTGTTTTAAAGCCTGTGTCTGGCAGTTTTAGCCCCACCAACTTTAACTACCACAGTATTTGGTTCAAAGTAGTTATCTACCAGATGGGCAAGGATGGGACATGAGATCCCCAATGGAAGCAGAGTCTTAATTGTTTCACTCTGGCCACCTTACCAGCAATTAAAGGCGCTCACAAAAGAAGACTTCAGAGCTGCTTCAGGGGGCAGCAAGAGTGATGGGATGAGTGTGTTTGAAGTGAGGAGCAGTATTTTGAGGGAGATTCATGACAATATGTTGTATACTACAATACATTTTCAAAAAGAATCAAAGCATTTTCTGTATTTTTACATCACACCTCCTAAGGCAAGAAGATGAGGACAAAGGTAGAGACTGAAAGAAAGTTTGAGAGAAATATATATAGGAAATTTCTATTTGTCCATCCATCTGTTCTATTGACATTTTTATGGAGATAGAGATCAGTTCAAGAAGGGAAAGAGGGGCCGGGGATTTAGCTCAGGGGTTCTGCTGCCTGCAAGCACAAAACCCTGAGTTCGATCCCTGGTACAAAAAAAAAGGAAAGGAAGGAGAGAAGGATGAATTATTGATTAACCACATCCCATAGGAAGAAGGAGGAAATGATGTGATCAAAGGCACAAATAGTAGCTCCTTAAAGGCAAGAGGAAGGAAGGTCAGGATGAGACAGAAAGGTGGGAATCTAGAGTTCATGAAAGACAATCTGTTTCCTCCGGGAAGTTTAGAATATGGAGAGGTGAGGGTGGAGAAACAGACTCGAAAAAAAGAGATAGAAACTTGCTATCTTCTCTAGGGAATAATGAAATAAGGAATTGGGATGCCAGGGATAAATATAGGGTCTCCTAGTAGTATTGGAGGCCTTACTTGTTTTCAATTATGTAAATACAAATGATTTTTTTCCCCCTAAACATTTCACCTATGGGTAGGAGAACAGGCAGGTGAGGGTTGGTGTGGCTTGGGTTAGGGCTAGGGGTAGGGGAGGGCACTGGAAGGGTGCTGGTGAGAGCGTGATGTGTTGCAGCTGTGGTAGCCAGGGTGCATGGAGACAAGGTGAGCCTGGGATGAGAGTGTCAAACTAGACCAATGGTAAAGAGGATGAAAAGTCTGAGAGGTTGGGGAGTACATTGACTTTGATTCCAGACATGAGAGTAGTGGGACAGAAAGTTCTGATTGACGAGTGGGACTTCCAAGTGTGAGTCTTTTCTCAGTCACGGAGCATTGGCTCTCTGCATTTATTGTGGGAGGCTCTGGGAACAAAGAGGAGTTACGATATAGTCCTTTCCATTAAGGGGTTCAAGCCTGGACCTCAGTGGTGACCGGACCACCTCTCTAGGTGATGGCATATTCTTACCATAATTTGTTCTTGGATATAATTAGTGAGTTGGAGAAATGATTGTTGGAACAAAGAAAGCCAATGGCTGACAGGTTGTCACATTGGATGTGTTGTCCACAGGTACTTACCAGTCCTACAGAGAAAATCAGGAGTTCTCTCTGCTCAGTTATTTCTCTTTGGTCGCCATATGTGTGTTCTCCCCACCTGTGTGTTGGAGCTGCTTTTCCGGTGGATTCTGTGCCGCTCAGCCTCCAAGGGGCTGCTCTGTAGAGCAGTAGACCAGTGAGCCTCCAAACCTGCTCCTGCACATAGGAACGTGAGTTTGTAACAAACTACCAATTTCATGCTTCAGGTTTCCTTTTAAAGGACTGAGAAGTGTGCTGTAAACCCTTTGTTGAGCAGAAGCGGCTGAGATGATTATCCATAAAGCTGTGAACAGGCAGGAGTCAGATGCTGCTGGAGCTGGCAGGAATTCATGCGGATGGATGAGTGAGCGTGTATGCACGTGGTGGGGCTGCTCATAGCTCTGGGAGTTCCATAACTGATCTCATTCTTCTTCCACACTTAAAATGAAGCTGCTAACAGAAAGAAGCTTCCTGAGATGGGTTGAGCAGAGGCCTTCTGTATGAAGGAACGGGCTGGGGGAATACACCTATCAGCATTTACAGGTTTTTAATGCCTGCACACAGCTGCACGAAACTTCATCTCATGGTCCATCTGGATGCTGCTATTTGAGAACTGAATTCCCTCCCTTCCTGGTCCAGAGAGGATGGCTGCAGACTGCACTGATGAGGGAGGGGCCAGACCACTGTAGTTGGTTAGTGGGTTTTGGCTGATGAGAAGGAAGAGGAAGCATGTGTCTTTGATTTTTCAGCTCTTGCTTCCTTTCTGCAGAGACCCGGCAGGTTGGTTTTTGTAACCTATGTTCCAGATTAAACTGTGGGAACAGGTTTTGTCCTTTGAGTGTAGGCTGTCCATCTCTCCAGGGATCCAGATGCATAACACCAAGGCTTTTCTGATGGGTCATGAAAACACCAGATCCAAGGGATGCATGATCTCCTGGGTGTGTGATGTTTTTTGTTCTGTTTCTTTTTTCTTTCAGAAGCCATCCGGGAAGCCAACTGGGGCCAACCAAGTTTAGAATCTTTACTGGTTGAAATCAACATCATCAGGGATGACCTGTTCTCATCAGCTAATTTTCTGCTCCTGACAACACATCTGATGCTAGGTACCTAAAGCGATGAAATTACCACTCCCTAAGCATTATGTAATGAGTCAGTCACCTGCACAAGGATTTGTATGCCACAGGATGCTCACCACTACTGCTGAATATAAAATGAAATATACTGTCATTAGATACTTTCACTTTACCCTTGCCATTCCCTGCATACACACAGTATAAATGAGTGAATTTAAGGCTGCAGAGAATATAAATTTGCAAAAGTGGTAATGAGATTACCTCTAAAACAGAAGCCACTAAAAATAACATACCATGCATCCAATTAGCTACTCAATCTAAGAGAGTTCACAAGACAGAGTTTATTGTCATCGTCATCAAGAGAACAGCATGTAGTCAAGAAGATAATGGTCTGGGGCAGGAGTGATAGAAGCTGTATCTTTCAATTGTACAGTAGTTTGTCCATAATTAGATAAAGGAACTTGGAGCCATGGAAGAGAGAAAGCTGTAGAGTAAGATAAGAATTGGTAGGTGCTGTGATGCTGGTTGACTGGTCCTAGAGTGTTCTCTAGAAATGATTTTTCCTTAAAAAGGTGTAGGCTTCATCAAATGGGATTTCACTGATGGAAAGCCATGACAGCTCCTTAGTTGTAATTCTATCTTAACCAACATAATTCCCAGTGTCATCATGTACAGAAGAGGCCCTAATCTAGATCTTGTGCCAGTCTGCTGTCCAGATAGAAGTTAATAAACTAGTGTTGGTTGATGATGTGTGTTTTTGAAGACTTTCTTATTGTGACTCCCAGAGTCCAATCACTTTTGGTCACAGGGGATGTTGAGTTGCTGGCCTGGGGTTTGGTCCTGTGCTACCTTGATCGAGGCCCTGGGAGCAGCCAAGCACACCTCTTTGACATCTTTCTATTTTGGTGATGCTCGTGAGACACATAAATTCTGAGAATTGTCCAGGATTTTGTTCCAAAATAGGTTTTTCAACTTATAATCATTTTGGACCATGTAGTTCTTTGTGGCAGGGGCCTGTACGATGTACTCTAGGATGTTCAGCCGCATCCCAAGCCCCTACCCTCTAGATGACAGTATCACCACCTTCTCAATACATACAGTAGCTGTGACAACCAAAAATGTCTGCAGACATTGTCAAGTTCCTCTGAGAGGAAAAGTTGTCCTGGGGTTAAAATGCACCCCTATTCTAAGAGCTCACCAGAGATGAGGGGCTTCATAGAGAGAGGTACAGAGGATAGCATCACTTCTGGGAGATGAGTGCTTCATGATCCTTACCTTTATTCTTGGAGGAGATGTGGACATAAATTAATTGTAGGGTACACTGTCAGTGGAAATGTGCAGAGCCCCCTAGAGCTGGTGCATCCCTGCAAAGGGAAGGCACAGAAGGAAAGATGTGAGAGTAGTTTGGCTCCGGGTTCATCACATCTCTAACCTCACAAACCTCTCACCGGTAGCTTCCCTAATGGACCGTCTCTGCTGAGTCCTGTCTTCTGGCCAGTTGACCCCACTCAGGAACTGCAATCATGGTGCAGCTGTATGGCAGAGTCAGGGAGGAAGATCCCATCTAGTCCTGGTCTTCTGTTCCTATGAAGTGGAATAGTACTTAGACTGAAGGGGTGTCACAAAGATCATATAGAGCAGCAGTTGTCAGATTCAGTGGGAATCTTATAAAATGAGATTTTGGCTTAGTAGGTCTGAGATGGTGTTCAAGCTTATGCATTCCAACAGCTACCAAGTAATGTCACTGCTGCTGTCTTGGATCATAGCTTGACAAATAAGGACCTGGGCCAGGCATATGGCCAAACTGAGACAATTGCCTGTTTTGTAAATAAAGGTTTTTGTTCATTTGTTTGTTTTAATACAGCCATACTCATTCATTGACATATCTGTGATTGCTTTTGTACTAGGTAATGAAGTTGAATAGTTGTGAAAGAGACTGTGACTCTCAAAGCCTAAAATATTTTCCCTCAGCCTTTTCTGGAAAAGGTGTGCCAACGTGTGTCTCAGGTGACTTGTAGCATGTGTCCATGCAGGCTCTTCCACAGAGGTTGTCCTCTAGCCTGGGCCATTCTGAGGTTCCCCTTTTTCAGCCTTGGCCTGCTTTCATTGTTGCTCTTCCTCTTGCCCTGGGTACCTGCAATCCTCCCTGTTGACTCCGGGCCATGGGACCCCTGCAGGAAAAGTCTGCATCACAGTAAGGCTCCAGCTTGCATATGCTCCCCTAAGAGCCCCAAGGACATGCTTTGCATGACACCCACTCAGAGCCATAGTCAGCCTGGTATCATTTTAGTCTCTAGGATGGCTCCATCTCAACCCTGTCAGAAACACCTGTAAACCTCATGCCTGGTTGTTCTTTTCATCCAGCCAGCCAGTCTCTCAAGACCTTCCTTTCATTAAGAATCATACTAGAGCCAGTGATTTAGCTCAGTGGTTCGGTGGCCTGCCTTGCAAGCACAAGGACCCGAGTTCAATCCCCTGTACCAAAAAAAAAAAGAATCATACGAGGTGCTTGGGGAACTAGGATTTGTAAAATGCTTCTTCAGTTAAAGAGACAAATGTTTAAACTGCATATTTTAATTGCAGTATTATAGGTACAATGTTCGAAGACAATTGGATACCTTTTAGCTAATGAAGGGCATCTGCAGGGTTCAGAGGGAACGCTTTGCTTTGGTGGCTTATATTTTTTTTTTGAATTTTTTAAAAAAATTTAATTTATTGGTACATTCTAGGTAGACAGTACAGTTACATTCATTACTGGGATCTTGTACTGGTGGCTTATTTTTAATCATGAATTTTTATTGCATTTTACACAAATATATTTTCCATCTATTGATGCAGTCTTTTTCTACTAGTATAGAAATGTGATATATTTTATACTTATGTATTATCCAATTTTTGAAATGAAGATAACATTTTAGAATTAAATGCTGATGTGATAGGGATTAGAATTTTACTAACTTTAATTTTAAATTCTTTTTGGTTTTTTGAGACAGGGTCTCACTCTGTAGTGGAGACTGACCTGGAACTCACTATGTAGCTCAGGCTGGTCTCGAACTCACAGCAGTCCTCCTGCCTCAGCCTCCTGAGTGCTGAGATTACAGGTGTGCGCCACCATGCCTGGCCATTTTCTCTTTTTGAGACATGCTCTTGCTATGTATTCCAGGCTGGCCTTGAACTCACAGTGTGGCCCAGGCTGGCCTCAAACTCAAGGCAGTCTTCCTGCCTCAGCTTCCTAAGTGCTGGGAATATAGGTATGCCAGGCTACCTAATACCATTAAAAGATAGCTTTTCTGCCATTCCCTTTAACTGAAAACTAAAATCTGATTGCAGGATTTTCTAAATGAAGTAACCTTCAAAATTTACTACTGTATCTAACCAATACTTTATTAGTAGTAGTATAGTAGTATTAAGTTTTTAAATTGTGATAAGATATACATGGAATTATTTACCATCTTATTTTATTTTTAAGTGTACAATTCAATGACATTAAATACACCACATTATTTTGCAATCATTGCCACCATTCATCTTGATTTTGTAAAATGGAAACTTTGGACCCTGTGCCCATTAAACAGTAACTTTCTCTGCCCCTCTTCCCCCTGCCCTTGGCAATCACTGCTCTACTTTCTGTAGAACAGAATTGGAATTGGACAGTCTCCGTCCTTTTGTGGCAGGATTTCACTTAGCGCAATGCTTTTAGAGTTCACTTATATTGTCATATGTGTCAGAATTTCCTTCCTTTTTAAGGGTGCAATAGTCCCTCATGTACACACCACATTTTGCCTGTGTCTCTGTGGATAAACACTGGGATGGCTAACACCTTTGGCAGATATCACCAAAAAAATGTATACACTCATCAGGAAAAGAAAAGTGAGTATAAATATTTTAATTTTTAATTTATTATCAAGACATCGTGAGATTCATACAAGTTAACTTTGGTCTCTATAATTACGAGAGGCTCAAAGTGGTTGCCACTAGCTTCCATACATTTATTAGTAGGATGAACTGCTGCTTGGGTATCAGTCATTGAGATTGCTGCACATGCATTTTCAGTCTAGGCTCAAAGTGGTTGCCACTAGCTTCCATACATTTATTAGTAGGATGAACTGCTGCTTGGGTAACAACATCAGTCATTGAGATTGCTGCACATGCATTTTCAGTTTTTTCTCTGAGGGCCGGCAGTGTGATATATGACATCCTCTAGGGTCCCCCATGTGAAGATAATGCCATCTGTTGAAAAAACAACATATTATTTTTCTTTTTCTGAAGTGTGTATGCGTTTTTTGGTGGACTGTGTATATATCCAAAAATGGAATGCCAGATCATGATGATAATTGTATTTTAATTTTTTTGAGGAGCTACTATACTAAATCCCCTAACAGTTATACAGTTTTACCTTCCCACCAACAGTGCAAAGTGTTCCAGTTTCTCTGTATCCTCTCCACTATTTGTTTTCTTTGTTGTTGTTTTTTATAGAAGCAGTCCTAAAAGCGAGGTGGTGCCTGAGTGTGCTTTTGATTTACATCTCTTTATTAGTGATGTTGAGTATCTTTTCATGTGACTATTTTTGTATCATCTTTGTTGAAATGTCTGTTCAAGCCCTTTGCCCATTTTTCAGTTTGGTTTGTTTGTTTTGGTTGTTGGTGAGTCATAGTTCTTTAAATAGTCTGGATATCAAATATATAATTTACAAATATTTTTTCCTACTTGGTAGGTTGCCTTTTCATTATGTTTTGTTGTTTGATGGGCAGAAGTTTTTAATATTAATATAGTCCATTTTGTGTACTTTTACCTTGTTGCTGTGCTTTTGGTGTTGTTTCCAAGAAACCAGTTTTGAATCCAATGTCATGAAGTTCTTCCCTGTTTTCTTCTAAGAGTATTCATAGGAATTTTAAGCACATTATTTAGGTCATTGGTCCAGTTTTAGTTAATTTTTTATGTGGTGCAAAGTTGAGTCCAATTTTATTCTTTTCATACAGACATCCAGTTTTCCTAATGTTTTTTATTAAAAAGATAACTTCTCCATTGTATGATCGTGGTACCCTTGTTGAAAATCATTTGAATGTATATGTAAAGGTTTATTTTTGGACTTCTATTTCATTGATCCAAATGTCTGTTTTATGGCAGTCCCACACTGTTTTGATTATTGTAACATTGTAACAAATTTTGAAATAAAAAACTATGAGACTTCAAACTTTATTATTTTTTTTTCCAATAATTTCATGATTGTTTTGGCTATTTGGGGTCTCTTGAGATTACATATGAATGTTAGCATGCATTTTTCTATTTCTGTGGGAAAACGTCGTTCGGATTTTGGTATTTTTCTAGAACTTTTACCAAACAGTTAAGGAAGAGTTACATTTTAGATAAAAGAAAGAGCACAGCCAAATACATGAAAAGATAAAAGAGTATGATGCACTTGGGGAACTAAAAGTAGCGTGGCATTATTGGAGCATTAAGCAAACTTCTATCACTGTGTCCATATGAGAATGAGCTGGGCAGCTTATAAATTAGGTGCCGAAGCAAGGGTCTGATATTTTGTAAGTGGATGTGTGTTGTGTCATGAAATTAAATGGCGATTACTTGAAGTGTTGGGCTGTACAGTGAGGTGAGTAGAGTTGTACTTATAGAAAGATGACCCTGTTGTTAACCATGGGTGTTAAACAGTAGGAAGAAGCTTTCACAAAAGAGAAGTAGGAGATTCTTTAAGACTCCTAGAAAAGCAGTGAGGAGACATGCACTGTGGTAAGCATTGGTACGGATAGGTAGGAGGAGTGAGTCTGACATAAGCAGACAGATACCAGTGGTTTTATTCTCCTCTTGTGTCCTGGAGTCTTCAGACCTACTGAACAATCAGGGTAGTAGCCCTGACTATTCGCCAGTGTCAGCCAACTCTAACATTTTAGGAATTCAAATGGCTGTTGAAGGAGACCTTGTTCCTTGGCTCAGAGGCTCAGGGAACTCTCAAAAGAAGCTAAGCCCTTCTCAGATCCCCAGAACATCCATTCTTCATCCTGCCACTCTCAGGGCCTCTGATTGCTCCAATAATATAGTCCATTTTGTGTACTTTTACCTTGTTGCTGTGCTTTTGGTGTTGTTTCCAAGAAACCAGTTTTGAATCCAATGTCATGAAGTTCTTCCCTGTTTTCTTCTAAGAGTATTCATAGGAATTTTAAGCACATTATTTAGGTCATTGGTCCAGTTTTAGTTAATTTTTTATGTGGTGCAAAGTTGAGTCCAATTTTATTCTTTTCATACAGACATCCAGTTTTCCTAATGTTTTTTATTAAAAAGATAACTTCTCCATTGTATGATCGTGGTACCCTTGTTGAAAATCATTTGAATGTATATGTAAAGGTTTATTTTTGGACTTCTATTTCATTGATCCAAATGTCTGTTTTATGGCAGTCCCACACTGTTTTGATTATTGTAACATTGTAACAAATTTTGAAATAAAAAACTATGAGACTTCAAACTTTATTATTTTTTTTTCCAATAATTTCATGATTGTTTTGGCTATTTGGGGTCTCTTGAGATTACATATGAATGTTAGCATGCATTTTTCTATTTCTGTGGGAAAACGTCGTTCGGATTTTGGTATTTTTCTAGAACTTTTACCAAACAGTTAAGGAAGAGTTACATTTTAGATAAAAGAAAGAGCACAGCCAAATACATGAAAAGATAAAAGAGTATGATGCACTTGGGGAACTAAAAGTAGCGTGGCATTATTGGAGCATTAAGCAAACTTCTATCACTGTGTCCATATGAGAATGAGCTGGGCAGCTTATAAATTAGGTGCCGAAGCAAGGGTCTGATATTTTGTAAGTGGATGTGTGTTGTGTCATGAAATTAAATGGCGATTACTTGAAGTGTTGGGCTGTACAGTGAGGTGAGTAGAGTTGTACTTATAGAAAGATGACCCTGTTGTTAACCATGGGTGTTAAACAGTAGGAAGAAGCTTTCACAAAAGAGAAGTAGGAGATTCTTTAAGACTCCTAGAAAAGCAGTGAGGAGACATGCACTGTGGTAAGCATTGGTACGGATAGGTAGGAGGAGTGAGTCTGACATAAGCAGACAGATACCAGTGGTTTTATTCTCCTCTTGTGTCCTGGAGTCTTCAGACCTACTGAACAATCAGGGTAGTAGCCCTGACTATTCGCCAGTGTCAGCCAACTCTAACATTTTAGGAATTCAAATGGCTGTTGAAGGAGACCTTGTTCCTTGGCTCAGAGGCTCAGGGAACTCTCAAAAGAAGCTAAGCCCTTCTCAGATCCCCAGAACATCCATTCTTCATCCTGCCACTCTCAGGGCCTCTGATTGCTCCAAGAATCTTGTGGTTATTTCTGTCTCACCTGTCAGTTGGTCTATTTTTCCTTGTTTTGGACTTCCCTGAAGCCTGCTAAAATGTTCTAGAATGAGAATTGTCTTTTCTGTTGTGACCCATTCATTCCAGCTGGTGGGGTTACAGCTCTGCAGGATCTCTAAGTGTGACCCACGTTACTACTGTCTGTGATCCACTAAACGCCCAGGTGTCTTGCCCAAGCAGTGGAGCCTTCTGTTCTAGTCACCGTGGGGCTTAGTTCCCTGCCCTCAGCTTATAGCAGCAGTGAATGTGAGTTATCAAGGTCTTTGCCACTTCTCTTGCTCCATCCTTACAAGATCTCTGTGAAGCCTCTGCTAAGAGAACTGTGTATGATGATGCTGGGACTGAGGAAGCTACTAGTAAAGGAAAACGCTGCTCTAGCTAGAGCCCACACATCTGGACACTGAGATCCCCATCCCCGTTCAGACCCTGCAGGGGCAGTTCTGTCCATGGTTGTCTGTGCAGAGTAGAGAAGAGACTGGCCCATCACTGTTACAGGTGAAATCACGGAGCTTAGAGCAGAAAGCAAGCTGAGATCTCAAATTTGAATAGGTATTTTAGAACACAGTCACTTTTGCCATTTGGGGATAGGTAGCCCTGACCTATTGCCAACGGCGCATATTTTTGACCTGGGTAATGAGGCAAACTGATCAAGGTACACAAGTGTTGTCAGTACAGGCTCCAGGGAAACCAGAACAGGAGAGGAGTGAAATGTGGCTTGGGGTTAAAGAGCAGTGATTGAGGAGACGATGAGTGGAACCCGATGGACTATTCCTCAAAGGTGAACCAGGGAGTGTGCAAATAAGAGTGCCAGGGAGGGTGAGGGGGAGTGTGAAAATGTGAAGTTGGAAGGAGATGGGGTAAAGAAAGGAGAAAGGACAGGCAAAACAGGTGTAGAGAATTGCTGCTTCTTTCGAAACAAGCTCACTGGAAGAAAAAGAACAAGACCCCAGATCTTTGTGGCTCCCTGGCTAAAAAAGGTGGCTTTTGGTTCTTGAGCCTGCAAAGCCTCAGGAAAGCAGAATGTGTCTCATCGTTCACTTTATGTTTCCAAACAGGAGGAGAGGGAGAGTGCCACGTTGGTTCAGCTTAGCGTCTCCAGGAGTCCTCCTCTGGATGCCACATGAAGCTGCCCTTCAGCCCTAGCACGGAGCCAGTGAACACGGAGCACGTGGAGATGAATTTCCTCAGCAGCATTCTTGCAACCTATTCCTTTGTGTCCAGTAGGTGCCTGGGCTTGGCTGGGTCAGGGCTGAGGCCTGAGGGCAAATCTGTGGTCTTTACCTGGGAGAGAAACACTGTGTAATCCTGTCAAGGGTTCTACTTTGCTGAGCTTTGGGATGAAAGGTCTTCTGAAAAGGAGTTAAGGTTGGCGTTCTCTGGTTTGGTAGATGAAGGACTCCAACAGCTTTATCTTGCTGGGAATGTTGGATTTCTTTCTAGCACCAATGAGTGAGTGAAGTAACTGGGGGCTGCTTTTGGCTTGCCATGATGAATTTATTCTGAGGCGGGAAGGGAATGATGGAGAATCTCAGCCCAGCTACTTCTGTTCTGAGGGAGAGAGAGAGAGAGAGAAGGGGGGGAAGAGAACCTGTGTGTTCTATGTTTGGGGGCTGTCTGAGGTGTTTGCGGGGAGAGAGAGACAAAAGGCATGTGAGTCTGAGAGAGTCTGATGTTTGCACCTTCCCTGTTGCAAAGTTGTGCCCTCTAGGAAGTTGGATGACTTTCTCCTCAAGGTCATTTCTGAAGACAGACATGGATTATATAAAAAGAGCCATGTAAAAATACATGGAAATGCTCTGTGGTTTGAATGACCAAACTGCTTCTGCTATGCTTGATTGAACTTTTAAATTTTTGGTAGTTTGCTTTTGTTTTGTTTTGCCTGATGCTTCTGGATGCCATTTGTAAAGGAAGGCACTGAGTTCTGATTAGATTTTCTTCAGGCAAGGACTGTTTTTAATTTCTGATTTCTTTCGACAGGGTTTATATATGGGTGACCTAAAAGCTCAAATGTAAAATAAATAAATAAATAAATAAATCTAACGTCCTGATCAATACAGCGGCAAATCTGAGCCATCAATGGGAGGAAAGAAAGCTCCTACTTTTTCTTTTTGAGAGGATCTTGGATGACTGTAGCCTTACTGCAGAAAGGGGAACCTCGTTCAGGGCTTACCCAGCTGCTGCCTTAGCAACCTGCAAAAATGCAAAATGCAGTTCACATGAGCCTCACCCAGCATTCTGCCTTCTTCACTCAGTGAAGCCACAGCTCCTCATCCACTAAAAGAAATCCAGTACCTGGTGCCTCCTTCCCTGGGCACCCACACATCCACATCACAGTCTTGGTTCATCCTCTTTCTGTGAGAATGTGTGGGGGTGGGGGACACAGGAGCAGGAAGAGAGATATTTAAAACTCTGGCATCATGTTTTCATAAGCAATTTGATGATGCCATCCTATAGTGAATGCATTGCAAGATGAAGTAGAGGACAGAGACGGTCTGGAGTTTCCAAGGTTCCTAAGGACACCCGAAATTCAAGTTTTGCAAGAAAATGTCTCTGGTAACACCAAACAGAGTACTGGACTTTGGAGCTTTACTCTGCACAGGAGGTACCTGGCAGTTTTCCACTTAGGGCAGCATGGCTGAATTGTGACCGCTGAATGTGGCAACTCATTGACTGGTCTGGTGTTTATTATCTTGTGATCTTGTCAAATTTAAAAGTGTACATCACCCTATTTCGCTGTCCCCTTAACTTTCCTTCTTTCGACCCCATACTTTGCAATTAAATACTGCATGGGATGCAGGAAGCAATGCTTCTTTGAAGTAGGTATGGGCTAAGAATAAAGGGTAATGCAAGGAAGTGGAAAGTAACGTGGCTAAAATAAGATTTGTCAGTAGATAGACCTAATTGAAAATTGACTCCGAGATGGGTAATGCTCCTCAAATAGAAAGAAAATGAATAAAGAAATTTTAAAGTATGAAAGTGAACTTAATAGATGCAAATAATCATTGTTTTTAAAGAAGAAAATACAATAAATGGAGTGGAAGCAATGATGAAAGGAGATGAATAAGAGAAAATTGTGGAAAATATCCCAATTTGTTAACTCCCTCATGTTCTCTTCCTGCTGTATAGTTTTCATTAGTCAGAGGCCTCTGACCTATCCTATTCTGCTCCCCTGCAGTGCATCAATTACATGATGGTTAATCTATTTGGCGCGCGCGGGGTGGGGTGGGGGGCAGGTATCGAACTTGGATCCTTGCCCTTGCAAGGCTGGCGGCGGAACCACTGAACTAAATTCCCAGCCCCATAGGAGGGTTAATGTCGAGTGCCACCTTTACTGGATTGACAGTTGCCTAGAAAACTGGTAAGAGCGCACTTCTAGGTACCCTCATAAACAATTGGCATGTGGGTCAGTGAACTAAAAGAGGGAAGATCTGCCCTGAACGTGGGCAGCGTCATTCCACAGACAGAGAGCTCTGAGTGGGAAAAGAAAGGTGGGAGAAGAGGCAAGCTTGTGCACAGGCGTGCTTCACTCTCCTTGAACCAGCGCTTTTCTCACTGCTGCCACTGCCCATGGACATCAAGTTGCAGATTCCTAAGCCTTTGACTATAGACCTGCAGCAACTCTCTAGGAGCTTTCCAAGCTAATAGCTTTGCACCAGTGATGCATTGTTATCAGTTCCTCTGTGCCTCTTGTTCTGAGGCTTCTAGATTCTTGCAGTGAGCATCTACTGGTCTCCGCGGTTCTCCAGAATGCATATGGTAGTTCAGACTCTGTGTAATAATAAATGTATTTAATAAATTCTTTTGTAATTCTTTTAATTATTTTTAATTATTTTGTAATTATTTTGTAATTATATTACATGTAAAAAACTTACTAATTCATATATCTGCCTTATTTCTCTGTCCAGCTTCTGATTAAGTCAATAGATGAAACCCTAACTATGAGTGAATCTTTGATATTTTTGTGTGTTTGTGTGTGTGTGCGTGTGTATAAGTGTGTGCAGATAGGTGTATTCTGTGTTTGGGGGCTACGTGAAGTGTTTTGGAGAGAGGGAGAAAGAAAACATGAGACTCTAGGAGAGTCTGACACCCCTTACTTGGTTCATAGCTGTAGCCTTTAGGAAGATAGCTGGCTTTCCATTCAAGGTTATTTCAGGAGACCAGGTGCTGTTCATAGAAAAGGAACCATTTAAAAACACATGGAAATGCTCTATGTTTTGAATGTCTGAACTGTTCCTCTGTTTCTTGAGTGAGTTCTTAAATTTTTTATAGTTTGCTTTTATTTTTGTTTTGCTTTTTGGATGTTGTATGAAAAGAAAGAGACTGAGGTTTTTGAATAGATTTCATTTTGACAAGGTCTGGTTTTACTAATTCTCTAGACAAGGTTGATAGGCACTGACCTAAGAGTGGTGACCAATTCTACCTCTTGGTAACCAAATTACCAAGTACTGCTGCAATTTGAAAATGGAAGCCAATAGAAATCATTGTCTCTAGTCTCATGCTTTTTGTTTTTCTGTTTGCCTTTAGGTACATCTTGTTTCTATTCATCATAATAGCCATTTCAAACCTTGACTACTATTCCAGTAATGTAAAAAACTATTTAACAAAATGCTTACTAAAAACAAATGACAAATGTCGAAACTTTTTTTATTTTTAAGAATTGCAACATTACTGATTATTTGTGTTTATAACACATAAAGGGCTTTTACAAATCAGTAAGTGCCCCAGAGGAAAAGATGACAAAGGGTAAGTATTAGCAGTTTGCAAAAGGAAAAATACAAATTGCCAATAAAACATAAACAATTTTAATTCCAGCAAATAAATGCAAAATGGAAACAATAGTGAAATTTACATTTTTATTTTATAAAATTCTTAAAGATCTGAGTGGTTAGGTACATGCACAACTCAGTTTTGGAGAAAGTGTGGAGATTTGAGTACTTGCACACAATGCTGATTGAATTATAAATTGCCGTAGCCACTCTAGAGAATGATTTGGCAATATCTATCAAAAGCCTTAAAAGGATTGTTATGTGCTATGTACCTGTACTAACTCCCCACAAGGAATGTAATTATTATGTAATGCAAATATAGAAATAAAAATAAAATCTGACCAAAAAAGTGTATCATTTATCTAGTCAGTAGACACAATGTTAGGAATTTCTTCTAAGAAAATAATTAAAGATCTAAGCACAAATACTGCTATGAACACAATTAACCTCAGAATTGTTTATATAATATAATGCAAAATAAAAAATAAATATTAATTGAAATAGAAAGATGATTATGATGTGCTAGTTAATGAATAAAACCAATTACCACAGGGCACATGTAGTATAATCCCATTATTTGTGTATATTCATATATAAAATTACCATATGTTTTGTGATTTTTATCTGAGTGCTAAGATTATACGGGTTTGTATCTGTGCATTTTTTGTTTCCTTTTGCTTAGCTATATTTTAAACATTCTATAACTCATCAGTGTTATTGGTAATAACAAATGCTATTTTATTAGAATATTAATTTTTGCTTAAATCATACATGAGACAATTTCCATTCCTTTACATATTCTGGCTCCCTGATTGGTATAAGTATGCTGAAAATAACCATTTGGGTATACTATAGTATTCCACATTCAACCTGCCCCAGAATAGATTTCTGTCTTCTTTAAATATGTGCTTTCTTTTATGTGCCTGTCTAGAGTATTACATAATCCAGAGGATGAGTTTTTTAACCTCAGATGTGTGGTTAGATCCATGGTTAGACACCAGTTCACCTCCCTTGTGGTTCCTCGGTTGCGTTTATTCTTTGTTCCCACCTCCACTGATTTGGTTCAAGTCCTACATGCTTTTGCCTGTTTGTCCTAGTGGTCTTCATGACTCCAGTCTTGGTTGATAGTCTGTATTTTGCAGCAAAATGAACTTTCCACACTGCAGGTGTGATGATGCAATCCTTTTCCCTGTTCACAATCCCTCAGTAGATCCTCATTGTCTCTGGGATAAAATCCAAGCACCTTTTCAAGGCTTAACTGCTAAGATTATTTTTCAGCTACAAATAATAGAAAACCCTCAACTCAGTGCCCTAAACACATAGGATTTATCTCACCCACCCATATTTTTCCCATATGTGCTTTGCTTTCTTCTGTCTCAGCATTTGGATTGGAGAAATTCATGGTTCTTGTTTTAACTATTTGCAAGCAACCCACTGGAACTAGAATACAATAC